TATATATATATATATATATAATTAATATAAATGTCTGTCTGTTTTGGGATGAGCTGAGAATGCAAACAGCTAGAAATCTACTCAAGGAAATCAATTCAGACATTTACATTAAGATAAGAATACTTCAAAGAGATATGGCCATTTGTAAGGTGGAACTGATGATACTTGTGCATTCATGGAAAGACATTTTAATATTCACAAGGAGATTTATGGATATTTTTACAGATAAACATTAAGGAACTATTTGGACATCTTTTAGATAGAAATTCACAAGGTGGTGTTTGGCAATTGACAAAAAAACTCACTTTGCCATTCATCAAAGGAGACGGATTTTTTATTTTTATTTTTTTTTAAGAAAAGCATTCAGGAAAAAGACAAACATTCAAACATTTACAGTGCAACATTCATGCAAAGATATTTGGATATTAGCTAGTAAAGAGCTTTTATGAAAACATTAAGAGCTTAGAAGTCTATAAATGAAAAATAAAAAATATTCAAGCATGAGCAGTCAAGTTGGAGGGATAAAATTTTTTTAAAGGGAAAAAATAATTGCATGACAAGTATTCAACCATGATTGGACTCTTCAAACATCAGGTTTTAATTTTAAAGCAATTTCATTTTCTTGTGAAAAAATGAAAATGTAAGCTCAACTCGAATCATAAGTTAATATAACATAACTAAATTTTAGTGCAATGAGTCGCTAATAATTTCTGTTAATTCCATAATTAAGAGAAAAACTGATTTTTTTTTCTCTTATTCAATTAAATCTATTTTTCAACTGTTATGATAAATTAATATTACTTTAGGGTATTAGGCAAGTTAATTTCAGCTTCTGAAATTTATAATAAATTGTGCAAAACTGTTTACTCATTCATTTTTTTTTTTTTTTTTTTTTTTTTTTTTTTTTTATTTACAGAATGTGTTTAATCTGGGGATTTATTGATATGAAGAATGGATATCTGGAACAATTTTCAAATGAGCTTTTATATAAAACCTGATTTTTTTATTGTTGTTTTCCAATATCTGTTGAGAACTTGGTTGAAAATGAAACATTATACAACGCACTACCTTTGTCAGTTTGGTTAAAGCAAAGGATATTTATTTTTCCCTAAATGAAAATTTCTGTCTCCTGATACAGAAATAAGAGATGAGTCACTTTTTGCCAGCTTGGAAGCAAATGATTTTTTTTATTAAGAAATAAGTTTAAAAAAAAATCTTTGGATGAAGTCAAAATTATCTTCAAAGCCAACTTCAGAAGTTTTCTCTATTATAAACTCAATTTGAATATTGAAAAAATGATATCTTAAAAGAAAAAAAAAAAAAGTAATGACTGTTTCATTTATACATATCTTTTTAACCTTTTCTATTTATTTTAGTCTCACTTTTATTGTGATGTTGTAATTATCATTATCAGTGGAAAATACAGATTAAAATTCAAATCTAAAGAATAAAATTACAGATTTATTTTACTTTGCCTGTAAAATAGTTAAGATTTTAACCCTCAAAACTAAAATATTGAATTTATTATTCACTGTTGGCATAATAAATAATTTTTATCTATATTGTAAATTATTTTTTATCCTTCACTCCAACCATTGTGTTATTTATTTATTTATTTTTTTTTATTATTATTATTCAGTGTCATTGTCATCACAATAGCATATATTCTGTTGGACTGAATTATTTCTGGACGGTAAAAATCTCACCTCTATATTGCATATTACCAACAGATAGAAATCAAAGATTCTGATTATCAGCATTATCAAGGCACGTTTTAGCAATGTACCAATTCAATATAATAGGAAAAAAAAAAATTAAAAAGACTTTGGCATTGCCCAATCAAGAAAGGAAAAAAAAAAAATCCCTTTTAAATGGAAAACCTGTTTAAGACATTTTGCATAACATTCTACAAATAATGATTCCAAGTGGACATATGAATATGATCCCGACAAAAATGGGGAGACAAAACGGGTTAAACAAATTTTTCTTTTTAATTTGACAAAAGGATGTAAAAAAAAAAAAAAAAAACACAAGATTTACCCTTTTTATCAATTGTTCATCTGAAACATTGAAAAATGCCAATCATAAGGGAAGAAAAAATCAGTACATTATATTTAATTAAGTTTTTTTTCTAAAGCTGATTTGTCAATGGAACTTCACAAAGCTAACAATGTTAGAGTATTAAAGAGAAACTGTGCCAGTTACATGTATATAACAATAACAAATACTGTAAGATCTAAGGGTTTTTTTTTTTCCTTCTTTGCTAACAATATTATTTCCTTTGTTAGGCTTTTTGGACCCAATGTTTCAATTAAATAGTTTAGGTATTTTACAAAAAAAGGAAAAAGTGTGTGTGCACCTAAACCATATCTTAACATAAATATTTTTTTCCTTTCACCTATATTCAAATCAGTTTTCAGTATGCAGTATTTATTTATTTTTTTTTTTTTTTGTGTTTATAAACGTGAAAGTAAAAACATTCCCCTCCTCATTATTCTGATATGTGAGGTTAGTCTTTACTTGTGTGCAAGAAGCATAACACATAAATGTTTATGCTTATTAGCTGGAACCTATTGGTGGCGGAAGAGGGAAAATGTTTCTGTACAGGCAGCCTTGGTATATCACCAGGTGGAAAGAGATAAAGAAATATGCAGAAAAATAAGAAAATGTTTCTTAAAAATTGTAAATTACCAAGTCAGGAAGGATAACTGGAACAGACATCAAATCCATATGGGGAATATCAATGTGTGCTTTATTTATTTATTTATTTATTTTTTAATGGCTTAGTTCAAGTGGAGGAAGAAACAGTTTTACCAAAATCATGTATCTTCAATTGTATATTTTTAATCAACTATCTATTATGTCATAATGTTTATGTATTTATAATCAGGATATATCTAAATGTTTGGTCTAATATCAAATAATGTTGAAGAGGTCAGCTAGTGTTATAAATATCAGGGATTTTACAAGTAGATTGTACTCTGGTTTGTCTGAGTGGATGTCTCTTATAAAAAATTTCAAGTATAAATATAACCAAACTATTTATAAAATGTTTTCTATATGCATTAATATTTAATCTGATACATATGACAGATCACTGAAAAGACAGCCTGCTTGTCTTTTCAAAACTCTCATAACTTTATATGAATTTTTCTAATAGTGGAATAATTGCAATCAAAATTCTTTTTAAAAAAGTATATGTAGTTAGGATTCTTAAACAAATTGAAAAAAAATTGTAAATCTTTAAATACCATCTTAAAAAGTTGTTAAAATTTATAGTTACTTAACTATAAAGTAGATATTTTAATTTTCTAAAATTCATAACACAACTTACTCTAATATTTAATTAGAATAGTTTAGCAAGCAAGATATAAAATATAAGAGTTTCACATTACTATTCAATTTTAGAATTATTTTCATTCATGTTTTTCAGAATAACTTTTTTTACAAAAACGATTTATTAGCCTTTTCTCAGATTAATTTATTAGGAACAAAACTAATAACCTTGGCATTTTGGAGGAACATAAAAACTTCTCATCCTCAATTTACTGTTAAAAACACTGAACAAAAACAAAGGTTAGTGTTTTAGAAGAGAATTAGTTACATTATTTAGTTGTACTAATGTCCTTGTCTTTATTATTATCCTGTTTCAGCCTTTGTGCACTTGTTTATTTCTCTTTCTTGCTGCTGCTGCTAAAACCTTGGTGTCAAGCTTGGCTCCATCCACTGCTATTTATCTTTATTTATTAATGGCTCCTATATGGCATCTATATCTATGCTAGGCCTACTGAGGAGGTTGTCATATCTTAGTATCACTGATTCTTTCAGATATCTGATGTTCTTCTCTGCTTTGCATTTTTATAAAACCACATGGAAGCAATTGTTAGAAACGGCAACAGTTTAAGGCCTAAAGTTCTAGCTTCAGGATTGTCCCACCAATCCTAAAGGATTAAAGTATTGATTTATGAATTTGGTGGAATAGTAGTTGTGAGTTCAATCCCTGGACTGGGTAGTATAGATTCAGAGGAAACGGAGCTAAAAATATAGCAGTACTTAAAAAAAAAAAAAAAAATATCCTGGTAGGTTAAAGCATTCAGTTCAAAATTGCCTGAAGGTTACCAGTATTAACAGACACCTAAATAAGTCCAGACACAACTGTTGAAATGTTTTGATAAACAAAGACATTAGTCCAACTGTATATAACTCTTCATTAGAAGAAATTGTCTAATAATACTAAAATAGATGATGCCACTTTATACATATATAACATGATAAAAGTGTTAGTTGTTTGTTTTTTTTTCTTTTTCTTCTTTTAATGTATTGCACTATGTAAGCTTATTAGTGAGTTAGTTGAAACTTTGAGTAAAAGGAAACAAAGGTGAGAAGATGGTCTCTCTGAGGAAGGTACCTCAACTCGAAAATAGAAAAGCTTAAAGTACCCCCAAAATTCAAATGTTATATAAAAGTATATGGAGTAAGTTTCCCTAGATCCTTCTTTGTCCCTGACTATTTTCATTTAAGGTCAAGGGATAAACTAGCTCAGATTTTACTACCCTAGTCCATAAACAAAAAGATAATTTACACCTTAAAATATTTCTCAGTCAGGAACTGGGGTTAAATTTCATCATCTTGATCATCGAGATCTAAAATTAAATTAAAAAAAAAAAATTCAATCACAATCTTCCCTGCAAAATAAAAACAATTAAAAATGAGAAGAAAAGCAGCAGATATTTTTCTTTGCTGAAATGTCGAGTTCTCAAAACGGACACTGGTACAAGACTCTTAACATGTTTTCAGTGATGAATGATACATGAAAAAAATATCCATGCCACAATATCATTGTGGCTTTTACTAGTCTGTGACTGACTTTTGAATGATAAAAAAGTATAATGTGGGTCAGCCAACTGGGATAATGTGCTCATCCCATAGGTTTGCAGGAGTGAAAGGAAAATGTCTTGCATGGTGATATAGCTGGTGGTAGATGGAGGGTTAATCAAGTATCAGTTAATAATAAACTTCCACTGCTGTGTCCGTGCCGTTTCATCACAAGGCAAAGCAATAAGGCCTTGGGACTGAACATCGCGACTGTCAATGCAGAGATTGTAACTTCGATGTTTGAACATGTTTTTGTTATGTATTTGAATCCATTTCTGAAAGTAAAAAAAAAAATTACATTGAAAGTGCTATCCTATTGAGCAACCCTATTTATATTGGAATTTAAATTAGACTTGGTATTTATAAAGAAGACAATAAATTACCTATGGATTTAGTCTGTTAAAATAACACCAAGAAAAGTATACTGTATTATTTTGAGAAGAGTCATTATCATCCCGAGACTTATTCAAACCTATTATCAAAAGCTGGTGACAACAAAACGAAAGAGTACAATTATTTGGACAATTCCTGGAATGAAATATAAAAATGTACATGACCTGAAAAATAATGTGACTGGGATTTTTGTTAAATGAACTTATATTTATTTATTTATTTTCTCTTTTTCAAGTAACTCTCTGCCTAAAGGATCAACTTAATGTTTGAGACCAAAATCAATAATTCATATTGTCACATCACAGATGCAGTAAACCAAACCCATTAGAGTTGTAGAGTTACACCATGTACTGTAGCTATAGAAATACGGTGTGTCTAGGGCAAGATAGCCTGATAGAGCCTATCCCTCTTCAGGTTGGTTTTGAATTCAGTTTTCCATCACTTAGACTGGACTCAAGACAAGAAAACCTAGTCTACCTTGCTATTTAACCCATAGCTTGGGGAGGAATAGTGAAGAAAAAAAATGAATGAATGACGAAGACCAAGAAAGGAAAAATAAGAAAGAAAAAAATAGAATAAAAGGAAATAATAAAGAACAAAAAATAAAGAAAAGTCAAGATGACACAGCACAAGTAACAATTAAGGTCAGGGCATCACACATAATGTAGCCTTAGTAGCAGTGATGTGTCTAGGATGAGATAACTTGACAGAGTTTATCCTCCTTCAGGCTTGTTTTCCTTCTCGGTTGGTTTGCCATCCAATTTTAGAGAGCCAAGTCTGCTCTGCTATTGACCTTTAGTTGGAGGTACAAGAGATGAATTTATTCTTTTCCAAAGGTATTTGTATAAAAAATGAATGCCTCGGGCCTTAGCTGGAATTTGAATTCAGCATACCCATCCCACTTTCCGTAACAATAACCACTATGCTACACACATCTTAGTAATATTGATATATATTCTTCAATATTAAATGAAAGACTATAATAGATACTTTTACAATACATTTTCATTACAACAACCGGCAAAAGTTTTGATTAGTCAATGAGCCAGTCAAAAAAAAAAAAAAAATAGTATAAAAAATTTTCCGAGAAAAACAGGAAAAGTTTATACAAACATAGCGAATCATTTATTTACTATTGACTGATCAAATCTATCCAAAATAGTTCCAGTTTCTGCAATATACCAGGAGTGCAGAAAGTTACTGTGAACTTTTCTAATCATATTTTTTATATTTCAGATATCACCCCAATATGGTTTTAAAAACAATTGTTTATAATTTTCATTTGTATTCTCCTCTTGTATTCTATATTGAAACATGTCTGTTAATAACTTTCCAAACGCTGTATAACTTCTGTTGTCAGAGCATTTTCAAGAAGTAACTTCAATTTAGCTGTAAATGGCAAAATTAAATACAAAAAATGAAATTTAAAGTTATGCAACAAAAGAATACAAACCAGCACGTAATGAAAAGTTCTTTACCTAACTAAGAAGGAATTATTATATTAAAAAAAAAAAAAATTAGTATATCAAGCCGAGAACTTTTCAGCATTATAGAAAAACTGAAATACAAATTATTTTTATTTTTTTTTAACAATTGTTTATAATTTTCTTTGACTAAAGATGTGAGATACATAAATACAAAATTTTATCTTTTCCCCTACCAAAGAGTTAATTCAAAGACATTGCTACTAATATGGATATCTCCTTTTTTTATAATCTTTCTATATCATTTACTATCTTACTACATTACGATAGCACGCTTTTATCTTATTATACTGCTAGTTTAGGATATTTCAAGCAAGGACAATAACCATAGATGCAAACACCAAGGATTTAAATAATGACACAAAGAAGCAACAACATTTCGTAAAATCAAATTCTCATCTCAATTCATATCCAGATATGTTTAGATAAATCAGAAATTCTATAAGATATATCACTTACCATTGAATGATGAGTTGGTGTGCAGTGGGCCAGTTCTAATACTGTACCAGCTGTATTACTAGGAAGTACAATACAAAGATCAAGATGTCTCAGACTGCCATCTTCAGAGAAAGACCATTCCTGTAGTACATAGAAAACAAATTGCTTTATTCTAAATAAATCCTCACTCATCATCATTATTATTATATGCAATAATTTTTCACGTATATTTTCCATGTGAATTGAAATATGTTATGCAAAAATTACTGATTTACTTTTATAGATAATATAAAATGAAAATATGTGATAAAATTTTAAAATTTCTATTTTAAATCCATCTGTATTAAAGAAATTTGTAATCAGTATTTTTAAGAAAAAAAGTAAAATTTTGAATTAAAAAGCAACTCTGATATACACACATATACATATATATATATATAAAATGTAAGAAATTAGATTTTTTTAATCAAAACATTTCTTATTACTATAAATATATTTACAGGATGCACATGTTTGAACATGTGAGTAGACAATGCATTTTTTTTTTTATTAATAGTACAATTAATGTCAACTGGATTAGATATTGAGAAGTCCTACAAAAGAAAATGTACCCTCCCAACAGGAATTGAACTTGTATTCCCTTTCTCCATCATTTATCATGATGGCTTCTTGTAGCCTAATTCATAAAGTACACTTAGCTTAAAAGTAGTTCCCCTGATGGGAAAAGAGAATACATGTTCAATTGCTGCCTGGAGGCACATTTTCTTTATTAAAACTTCTCAATCCCTAGGCCAGTTGATTTCACTGCTTTAAATAAAGGGGGGTGATGTCAAATCAAACATGTGTACTCACTAAATATGGGCATGTGGCCGAGTGATTAGAACATTTACTTTCTAACCAAGCAACCTAGGTTCAAATCTCACCAGAGTTTTGTCAGGAAGGTAACTTCTTGATTTTATCAGTCTGGATGAGGCAATCATAGCTTGCAGCACCTTTGAAAAGTGCCTGAAAACTATACCACAGGTTGACCCAAGCCTTGTGAGTGAAATTGGGTAGACGGAAGTCTTGGGGAGCCACTGGTGGTTGTGCTAGCACAAAGTCACAAGTCATCATGACCGAGGGTTTGAGCGTGTTGGCTTGGTTCAGATGGTTGATCATACTAGATAATGCGCTCTCTCCCAGAAACTGTAACTAAGGCCTACTCAGCATAGTTGCAGTATAAAACACAAGTGGGTTCTGTAAGTGTTGAACAAACAAAAATGTGCCTGAGCAGGCGTCTGCAACGGGGATTAGCTAGCTGTCCCAGCAGATACAAGTGACCAGCCACTATACTCATTAAATATAATATAGTAATAATACATATATATCTATGTATATTTTGGAGGAAAGGTATATAACAAAGTGAGAGAAAAAGGTTTTGTGTGGCACATTTCATAAAGGATAAATATGTCACATGAAATCTTTTTCCTCCCCACTATATCATACATCTTTCTTACAAAATTGTTCTTGATATACAAAAAATTGTATATTGTTAGCATATATATATATATATATATATATATATATATATATATACACACACACACACACACAGGCAGCAAAAATTCATTCAAACAAGTTTTATTACACTCAACCAACAAGATCTTTGTGTTTAATTTTTTTCAGTTTATGTATAAGTTGTTGCACTAGTGGATCAGATTTGTGAAGAAACTATCCCAAGTCCATAATGTTTTGGTTTTCATTACTTTTGATCATCTCCAGTCATTATCAGTATCCTAGAGATATGTTTTTACTTGCTTCATCCTGGCATTTCAGGAACACAAAATTTCTAATTTAAATATGCATATATACAAGTGAGATCATGAGTAGGATTTTTTTTTTTGAATTAGACTGTTAGAAGTCACAAAACATGGCAACACCTGAGGATAAAGATATTAAATATTTTAGACATTATAAAATGCTGTTCTCTGCAGCAAAAGATATTCTTCTTAATGTAGGTTGTTTCTTTTGTTTAATAGTTTTGCGTTTTTCTTTACAGTATTCTAGTATAATCTACTATTTGTCATGTATTCATTGTATTTTGATTGTTTGTGACATGATGATGTATGATGACTTTCAATAAGTGGCAACCTCAACAAAGATACTGTGTTTATGTGATGAATGTAAGAATTTAATGTTTTTTATTATTGGTTTTGAAGAAGCAATTGCCAAAGGGCATGAGAATTCATCAATAGCGTTGTTTTTTGGGTCTTTTTTTTTTTTTTACATAAGGGTGGTTTTTGAGAAGTTGTAATTGTAATGCTTTTGTAATAAAAGGTAAATGGTAGATATTATAATCAATTTTTGTCGCCAGAATCTTTATTACATATAAGTCTATAATTTGTCTATCCATTGAATATTTCTGCTACATTTGGATTGGTGCTTCTGCTATGTATTTAGAGATTCTTGATTAAATACAAAGAAGAATCTGTAATGTTATCAGTCCTGATCTTGCATCTTGGCTTCAGTCACTTACCCAGCTTCTCTGTGCCTTTTCAATAAATATTTTCATGGTAACTGTTCTGATGAGATTTCCTCTTTGATACCCCAACTTTATGAATTTAAGCACAATACACAATTGGCAGCTAGGTTTCAACATTTTATAGTTGGAATTGCTAGGTGTAGCCCTAAGTTCTATGCTAACAGTTTCACTCCTTGCTTGTGGAACTCTCTTCTGGCCTCTAGCTTTCCATTTAACTTTGATCTTCAAAGATTTAAATGCAATGTTAATTGTTATCTACTGTCTTCTTAAATCCTATTCTTTTATTGTTCTCTCTCCTTAATGCTTTTCTTTTTCTCATATTAATTCACACTCAGTGACCCCATAGCATCTTAGTGGCTTTATTGCTTTGTTTTGCTTGCTGTGAGTCATTAAGTGATATGTACCCACTAATTATATTTTTAATTTTTTCATCTTTTTTTTTTTAGTTAAGATGCACCTGGTTATAATAACCTTATTTTTTTTTTTTTTTTTTTTTTTACTTAGATGGCTTTTCTGGGTTTTTTTAAAAAGAAAATTTCTATAATTCTTTCTCATTTTATTTGCTCATTAATGACAGTTTTTTATAAAATGTGTATGAAGTGGAAATTACTTTAGAATGATTGATAATGTTGTTTATAACAGCTATTTCATAACTGTGACCATATTCACTTTGTTAATTGAGTAGACTAGAATCTTTGTTTAAGTGGCCTTTTTATATAGTGAAATAATAAAATTATTAGACTATATAGAAACATTAAAGGGTCTCTATTATAAAAGTACAGAACAGACTTTTCCCCAGTGGTTTATTTAAGGTTCCTTATTTCATTTAGATTGCTCCTGATGATTAATATATCATCAATATATATAATATAAATAAATATAATAGTGCAATTTTTAATGAATTTTGTTTTATAAATAAATCTTGAAAAAGTTAAAATAAATTAGGGTTAGGAGTGACCCCATAACTATGTTTACATGGAAGTTTAATGTTTCCTATATACAAATTTTATTGATTTGTTCAGATATTTTATTCACAAATATTTTTTAAATTTTATTAACTGTTAAAATTTTCAAAACATTTTTCACATTAACCATGGCATTTCTAAGTAGCAAGGTTTTCATGGTAATATTTTGTCCTTAATTTTTTAATTGTTTAATGATGTTCTTATTGAATGAAATGTTGGCAACAGAATAAGAAAAATTTAAGCATCCAACTGCTTTTCACATGATCCATTTCTATATACTCTGTTCAGATATTTCATTCAAGTCCTTTTATCATAGAAGTTTATGTAGAATTGTTAGTTTAATATTACCAGGTGTGAGAAAAGAATGTTTATATACTTTCTGTATATCTATAGTTTCTTTGACAAGGACATGAGCAAAATTACTTCTGACTTCTAACAAGGCAAGTGTGTCATTATTAGGTTTATATAAGTACAATATTTGAAGAAATTCATTAGGGGAATTAACATTAAATTTATTTAGTAAGTTCAGTAGGATCAGTTATATATAAAAGTAGGAATTTGTAAAATTATGACAGTTGAGCCAATTTTTTTTTTTTTTTTTTTAACATTCCCATAATAGGTAACCAGGATAGTACTCACCTACAAATACCTATTTCTAATATCTTTATAAGCTTGCTTTAATGTTTTGGTTAATAGTGGGTTCATCTTCTGTAGTTATATCTACCTTTTATGAATTATGGTCCTAAGCAAGATTTATACTCCACAGTGAGATTAGTCTGTAGCTGTAGGGCATTTTTGCATGGAATTTTAATTACTGTCCATCATTTCTATTTTTTTTTTTCTTCAGTGTTGCTACCAAAATTATATACACACATGAATATACATACACACACAATAAATTCACTGTCTGATCCGCTTCTCAAATTCAGTATTTGAATGACAAAATATCAGAATACTGGTTTTGGGAAGTGGGTGGGGTCAAGGGCTTCTCAGTCTTCCCTTTGTATATGATAAAAGCAAATTCAAAAAAGATTAATCACTTGGTGAGTTGGAGAGGAGGGAAAAACTATGACAAGGGGAGACAACCATGCAGTGCAAAAAAAAAAAAAAAAAAGCAACCAACACTAAGCAGTACAAAGCAAGGTTACTCTTCAAGCCATTTTAATAAACATTCATTATATCAAAATTTTAAAGCCTTTCTCCTTGATATTATATAGCCACAACATCTATGTTACTGCTTTCTTATACTAAGTCTAAGCAATACACAGTTGACAGACTATGTTATCTGGTTGAGGAAGTTGAATACACGAGTGAGTAATGAAGAGTTCTCACCCCAAATGTTGATCTCTTGATCATATTTTGGGAAGTGTATCAAACAAAGAACTTTTCACCATCTTCTCATAGGAATCACAACCTCCAATGTTTTACCTACTGAGTTATCTACATCCAACAATCTCATACAGATATTACATACCTTCTCCATATATTTTACTTATTCTGAATTTCTTATCAATACAGAATATGCATTCATGCACAAAGCAGATCTAAAGAGATTTTTGTAAATACTACATGCATGAAACACTTAAATTACAATGCATTAACTTCAAGCATCAATCAATATATAGCAAAATGACAACATGGCACTGTTTTCTGAGATCACTAGAACTAGTGTTAAATGTTTGTACTTTAGCAAAGTACAATATTTGACAAAAAAAATGTAATGGCATCCTTTGTCTCCCATTTGGTAAGTTGGGATATGGGGTTATTAAAAGGCATAATTTGTTTCTCATTTGGTCAGTTGAGATATTAAAAGACATCACTTGTCTCTCATTTGGTAATTGGGATATTAGAAGGCATAATTTGTCTCCCTTTTGGGATATGGGGATATAAAAAAATGCTGTCATTGTTGTAAAAGTTAAAGTATTTGCTTAATTTATGCATTTAGATGTTCTTCAACATAGAAGATTCTGAAACCTTGACCATTACCAATACTGAATTGGATGATCATTTAAAAATGCCAGTGTCTTTTATTCAAAACTTCATAAAAAAGAGAAAAGTATTTTGAAACTTATCTCCATCAATTCCCTCCACTGGCAACACATTTAGAAAATGAAATACAATGTAGCTGAGAATAATGTGCATTCTATTCAATTGCAATTGAAAAATGTCTAATTTCTTAATCTTGACACAATAACTATCACCAAATGTCAATAAGAAAGTCATAAGTATTTCAAATGAAATCTTAAGCACTAAAAATGAAAATCATAATCTACAAACCCATTGTGCCTTAAGCTTTCTGATGTCAAAGCAAATAAAATTGATTCCTTAGACCTATTCTGATTTTGTCCACTTTAATTAAAATTAAACAGATTACATCAAATTAATCAGTTAACATTTTAATCTTTGACAATGCACAAAATTATTGATTTGCACTTCTCAGGCACAATGAATTAAAGTAAAAGAGAACCAGGGTTCAAAATGTTACTATTTGCATATATTTTCTTGTAAATATTTGATTTTATCCATGGAATTTTGATAGTTCTTTGTCTATTAACACTAACTGGATGCCTCAAAATGAGAACTCATAGCCAAGAAATATCTTTGTTAGTAATTTGTCACACAATAATATTTATTTAACCATTAAGAGAAATATATATATTGTTTTTGGTGGCATATGGATAAAAGATTCAATCCATCAACCACCCTTAATTAATTAATGCCAATTAATGTCAACATCATTCTGAGTAATTGCTTTTCAGTGGAATTTTCCATGGTTGTTCAAATCTATAGTGTTTTTCTTTTACAGACATGATTTTTAATTTTAATATTTTAAAAGGATAAAACTTATTTTACTTAACACTAAAAATGTTCTTGTTGAAATAGAATTATTTTAATTCTGAAAATAATGAACATTACTAATCCAGAAGTCTTGTTTCTAAACAGCCTTGAAAAATCTGCCTTGCAATATGCTAATACAGTGCTTGTGAAAGAATTATCATCACAAGGTTAAAGTTAAAAACATTATATTTAAAGTGGTCCAGTGTACAGTGAGGGTTAGTGCAGAATTATAAAGGAGTTATAATAGTAGTATTATTTCCATGTGAAAGGATTTACCTGGTTGCCACCTGAATTGTGACAATGGAACAAGCCAATAGAACCATCTGCAAAATGACCCATAGTATCCATGCACATCTCTCCCTGCTTGATCATACCATATAACAAAGCTTGGTTTGGAGGAACTCTACAAAGAATAGGAGGGATGCCATAATGCCAAAACTTGGAAACTTGATTTCAACAGAAAATTTATGAATCCATGAGCTGGATCAGAAATTTCCATCATTAATTGGTTAAAATTGTTTGATGTAGTGTGTTCATTTTACAGCTTTTAAAACTAACAGTATTCCAAAAGCAGCACTTTGATACTTTAAATTAGTATTATAAAAGATAAAGGGGTGATTTTTACCAGAATTTCTGGGATGAGGAGTTTTCATTATTTGCACTGGGACTTATGCCCTCATCTTTGTTGATTTTTCTCACAGTGTTTCAGCTATTGTTCCCTCTGGCCTTCTTCAGTCTCCCCCTTTTTTAATATACATACTACTAATTTATTGCTTACCCTGTTTCTAATGAGTTTGCCTGTATTTTCCAACCCAGTGGTTGAACTCACTGTTACTATATCACCAAATTCACAAACCATTGCTTTAATCCACTAGGCTATTATCCTGTGGGGCAATCCTGAACCTAAAAAAATGAAGTCATAAACTTAATGTTCTTATTGCCTTGCTGCTGTGACACTTTACTTTATTTGTTGTTGTTCTCTTATAAGAATGCAATAACTGAACAGTACTAATAAGAAAAAAAACAAGGCAAGATACATTTAGACATGGACAAAGAGAACAATTTACCCCTATAGATTAAATAAAGGGGTCTGTTCAAAATTCCCTAAAGTTAACAGATCAAAAGACACCTGAAAATCAGAGGGAACTACAACAAAAATGAAGGCACAAGTCTGACCGTAAATAATGTAAACAGTAAAGGAAGGAATAAGAATAAATGATTGACTCTAAAGAAATTATGCAATATTTATATTAAACTGTCACTAGATTAGCTGCATTTATTATTCATTTATAGTACAAAAGTTTTCCCAAATGTTTTATATAAATAAACATTGCAATATTAATGTTTTATTTCAATACAATTAAAATGTAAAAATATGTAAAAGTGATATGAGATTTCACTGTGATGAAAAATCTTTCAGATAAATTATAGACAGTTATAAAATATAATTAATTTCAGTATATTCAGGCGGCAATTGTTCTTTTAAACATTTATGATTTAAAACAATACCCCCTTAGATTTAATGATTTTTTTTCCCTAATATATACATATCCTTTCATAATTGCAGCTTTTGTGTGTGGATAAATTAGCTGAAATTCATGTTGTCTAGTCCAGACTTTCACACGAAGCATCATCAAGGAGTGAGAAAAGCTAAAAATTTTCCATCAAAACTAAACATTGTTACACATTGGTGCCACATGCTGTGTTTAGCAGCATTTGATTTAATTTTTTAAAAATGACAACACTTTAAAAAAAAAAAATAATGATAAAAATCTACTTCTTAAAACAAATTCAATTTTCTTTTCTCGGTCATACTTGATGATATAGTCTCATGTGAGTCAAAAGCTCGGACTAAACAAAATGAATTTTGGCCAATATGACCACACAAAACTATATTTGTGAAAGGATATTTCTACATTAGAAAATAAAAAAATTCATTAAATTTAATAGATGAAAAATGTCTATTGTTTTTATGAGTACATGTTTAAAATATAATTAGTGCATCAATTAAAATTTTAACAACACACAATGTTCAGAAAATATTACTTCATTATTTTTATTTATTTTATTTGTTCCCCAAAACAAATTATTTTCTTTCTTTCTTCAAGGGACAGTCAGATCTATGAACTAAATGTAGACATTATTATTATTATTATTATCTTAAAGGGCTGTAAATGGAATAAAAGAAGCTTTCTCAATTTTTTCATTTCACGTCATGGGAATTTATAAGTTTACAATGAGAAATTTTATCTCGACTACAAATTGATAAAATGAACTTTTTTTTTTTCCCAAAAGAATTTTTTTACACATTTATATTTAGAGAACTGGCTAATCAGTTGATCAATTTATTTGGACTGTTTTTATCACAACTCTTCATTTGAGATTTTTTTTTCTTTATACTAGAATGAACACATATACACTCAAATATATGATTAACTTCTAGAACAGGTTTAAACAGATAATTTAAGAAATGGCAATTAATTTAGACTTTCAAAATCACTGATAATGATAAAAGCCTTTCTTCTTTAAATTGAAGCCAAATTTATCTTCTGATAATCATAGTGGAAACAACGTATTTGTCCAGTGATAATTATTTTAGCACGAGTAGGTCACTGCAGGCAAATACCAATTGTAAATCCCTGATGCATCATTATTTTTTTTTTGTTTTTTTTTTTTAAAGATTAAATACTAGGTGTGTGCAAAAATTTGTAGAATCTTTATTTTTAAAAAAAAATATTTTTCTCTTGTGAGCATCCAAAAAAAGAGGATGCAAGCATCTTACACGCACATACACACACAACAAAATATAGTTTTAAGGCATGCTATATTTATGGATTAAAATGCTCAATATCAGGTACAGAGCATATGTAAATATAAAAATGGACATTGAAGTCAACATCCATGCCTGACGATTGTGTTTAATCATGAAATAGACTGTTGCCTCTTGGGTGTTGACTTCAATGATTCCCAAAAACTCAAGATAATTTTTTTTTTTTTCCTTCAAATAAAACTATGAAAACATTTAAAGGTAATTTCTTTTTCTAAAAATCTGTACACATTTATAAAGACAAAATTATATGAATTGACCGAATTTTATTTTGACTATATTAGAGAATAGAATATAGAAATTCCTATATATTAGAACAATGTTGGATAATTGAATAAAATTCTATATAACGTGTTTTGTCCTCTAAAAGGACTTCATGAAACTAATGTTCTTATTGATGGAATTATATATATGTAGGTAGATGAGGGAGTATAAAATGACAACATCAGTTATAATTATGCGTGAAGAAGAAAGGCTGAGAATGTAGGGATGCTAATTTTAAATTCCTAAATTTCTAGCATCCAACATGTCTAGATACAACAGCTCAACTAATTTCATTGTTTCCCAACTCTTGTTTTTGTTTCAATTTTAACGATAAAACAAAAATAAAATCCTTGAGAAGCTGAATGAAATCTGCTAAATTGTTACTTCTATACACCAGAAATTTAGCCTCACTACATCTTTAACCATTTCCTCTTGATAAATAATTACAGCTGACATTTTCATTTTATATTCCCCGCCTCCTACTAAATATGTCCATCAATAAGAACATTATTCTATTTTGATGAGGTTTTTTTAAAGGATGAAATGCATTACATAAAAAGTTTTTCCCATTTTGTTCTTCAAGTGACTACAAACATTAGTCATTTACATCTGTATTAAAGATTTTCTCTTTTCTAAAAAAAACAGCTTTCACATTTATATGACTGAAGCTAACCAAATGCAATATTCTTTTTCAAACCTGTGTGTAGACAATTCTATTTCTTGTGCATAATCAACCCATTGCCCAGTATGCTGGATTCCAAAAAAAGATGATTACTTTTAAAACAAAAACAATGGTACCAGTAAGATTTAAGCATTCATAGATAAAACCTTTGTGTAATAATTGGTTTGTGCATTTGCTAAGCAACTCTATTATTAAAAATCCATAGAAAATGGTTTCAGAAGAAAAACTTACTCAGATTTTGGTGATTTTTCTGTTAAAAACCATGAAGCAAAGGTAACCAAAAACATGCATGAAGCAATTGGGAAAAAAAAAAGCAAATTTAGCAAGCAGGAATTTTTTTTTTTTTTTTTTTTTTTTTTACATTATCTCTTCTCAATTCATGTAATAATTGAACTTTTGTTTGAACAACTTAAAATCATGAACTTCATGACAGGATTAATTTATCAAGACTTTTATATAAAAATATGACTTCAACTATTATTATGGTTTAATGCATTCTATTGAAAAACTTCAATAATTAGGAAAGTTAAAACTGAATAAGGTCAAAATCAATTCATCATTTCATATGAACCTGAAAGTAAAAAATTTTTTAAAAAATGGATTTTTCTTGTATTCTAAAATTTTAGAAATTATTTTACTTTGTGCTGTTTAATATTTGAGATTAATTTTTTAACTTTTGTTGAAATATATGAAATTTATCAATTCACAGATTATAACCAGTTACAATTAAAAAATATTTATAAACTATTTTCTCTTTTTTTAAGATTTCATTAAAAGAATATCATTTTAATACTTTATATATTTGAAAAACATCTTTGTTTACATCATTTTCTTAATCTGTTTTATAAACTACATATGAAATATGTTTTAAGAACTAAAATTTGAAGTTTGTGTAACTATGAAATATAAATCTTAAAATAAATGATGACTACAAATAGCAAAAGACTTATAATAAAGCAATATGTCTCCCTCATAAGCAAAATTATAAGCACAATTTCTTGATAGACAACAACCAAACAAATGTATAACATTTGTTATAAATGCCATAAGTTTTCATATCAAAATACCAAGAACAAAAAACAGCTTTACTCACTCAAGTTCAGGATAGACATTTTCCAAAAACCATTTAAAGGGTCGACATTTCAGTTTCTTTTTCAAATCTAATCGTTCTGAAATGCTGCAAAAGGTAAGAACATCCATTTTTTTATTATTATTATTTTTTTTTTAAATAAAATAACTTCAGCCTTAATTAATATTTAATAGATTAGCATTCTAGTTATAAAACTACCAGGTTTAATAATAAAAGTCATACAATCAAATAAATATAGAAAAAGAACTTTCAAGAAAGATTTATAAAATCTTTTTCTTGAAAATTCTTTTTCTATATTAAAAGAATTGTTTCAAGAAAAGGATTTTATAAATTTCCGCTGATAGTAATGCTAATTTGTTTGATCAATGAATGCCAAATGTTTTCTATATGGAAATGGCTAATTTAACAATTGCCATTAAGTATAAAATATGTAAATTACTAATGACTTCAAAAAACAATTTTAAGTGTGCAGTTTGCTTTTGAGAATCAAATGTTTAACTTGGTTCTTGACAATGACATAGTAATTACTGTCCATACAGGGTCATCAGTGTTTTTAAATATGTATAGATTTGATTGTATGTAATCATTTACTAAATTTACCTTAGTTTGAAACAAGACCCTAAGTATGGCATACCTAATAAGCATTATACTTATTATCTAACTGTAAGAGCCAAACAAACCATTCCACTAACCATTATCCCATGCTAAAGAGCCCAACTTACCTGTTGTACAAAATCTCCTGGCTATTTATGATAATAAACAGTTATGTATTACAAGCCCATAGAGAAATCTTTATTTGAAAGTAAAGTTTAGGTGAGCTGATTGAATTTTAATCATATATATTTATAAGGTCAGCAGGCAATAAAATTGGCAAAAAATTTTTAAAGCAGACTTGGTTGAAAAGTTCTAAAAGTGTTTTATTGATTTGTCCCTTCCCATAAAAAAAATTTTTTTTTTTTTTTAAAATAATGTTGAGAATTGTATCCCCACTTGTAGTTACAAATAACTTCCACTTATCAGATGCCAGAATGTGAGGATTATATAAATTCTTACATACACACCATGCTACTTCCACAGAGTTGAATCATCCTCATTTCCTCCATGTTCCAAATGTAAGAAGAAAGTTCCACTCAACTTGTTTCTAAGAATTGCCACTATAGGGAACAGACACCTATATGAGTGCTTCCCTGAACATTTCAATCTTTACCTCTCTTCAAATCAGGGATCAATTGTTATCTTTCTTCCTTATTCTCATAATCTTTACATCCTACCACTTATTCTTCCATTTTGAACAGGAGCAGAGGTTTATCCTTGTTTCCAGTTTAAGTTTGGGTTTCCAGTTCTTTTTAAACTTTACTTATTTACTAAATTTTCTTTTCAGTAGGAGTAGATAGGTTCACAATCCTCCCTAGCCTTTTGAACAGGAGTAGAGGTTTATTCATTGTTCCCAGTATAGGATTGGGTTTCCAGGTTCCTTCAAAAGTCTTCCCATTCTCTTTCACTCCCAATAGACACTTGATTGGAGTGAATTGATTAAAAAAAGTAAAAATTCCTTGAGTAGTTCTCAACTCTTGTACTGTTAAAAAAATGATAGTTCTGCAAGCAAGGATTGCACAGCTCATATTAGACCACATGACTACTATTGAGAATTATATTTTGAGTTCTAGTTTAAATTTACTCATCTATTATGTTCTGTTAGAGTAGTAAAAGTTGTTTATGACCCCCCTCCACTTCTAAACTCAACAATGTTGATTGATCCAGATAAAGAGGTTTTAAATGGAAAAATAAAGATTTTCTTTTTTTTTTTTTTTTTTTTAATTTACTCAAAATGATCCATAATGATTTTAACCAAATCTAAAGATCTAGAATTTGGTTAAAGTAAATATTTTCTACCTCATTGATTAAAGAATAGCTGTGAGTGTTTTAAGATAATCTTACAGTTTTTAAGTTTCAACTTTATATTTCCCTCTTTCAACTCTACCTATCTTATATACTCATAGTGCAAGTTTTTATGATCAATTTTTTATGCAAAAAAATAGGGGGCCACACTAATGCAAATAATTTTTTTGAAGAGGTTAAAAATCATGCATTTTTGGTGACCAGTTGCACTATACACAGGTACATTTTTTCTGTGGAAGTTAAAATTCAGGAGCTTGCACTATACATAAAGTTGGCTTATACACAAGTATATAAAGTATTCTTTATAATAAGAATTAGAAATTTTTCGTCTTTGTTGCAAAGTTGTTTTATTTCTGCATTTAAAAGAAAATTATCCTAAAACTAAAACAATTGCCTTGAAGATTAATTTCAAAATGATGCCATCCTATGGACATTTCATATTGTTATTCTTATTCCTGTGTAGAATTTTCAGATTTATTTAAATCACTTAATTCTGAAAGACAACCTTATTTGGTATTAACAAAATAATTTATGAATATAATTTTATGAAACATTTTAAAAGGGTAGTTTGATAATAAGCATAAGTGCTTCCTACTAATTATTTGGGTGTACATATACATACATATACATGAGAAATGTATACATCCATATTTTTTTTTTTTTTTTTTTTGCAATGGTTACTTTCCTTATTTCTGTTTGGATAAATATAATAAATAGAACTACATTCCAGTATTGGTTTGAAACTGAAAGAAATGTATTGATGCATAAAACACCAATAAGGAAATAGTTTCAAGTCGAAATAAGTTACATAGGCAACTAAAAATCATTAATATCTACATGGTTAACTGAGAATCATTAATATCTACTATTGCAATGTATGAGTGAATATTATTATGGGAGAAGATAATTACTTATTTATTTTTAAAGAAATCCAATGCTTTTCTTTCAAAGCTGTATTCAAACTAAATTGTATTTTCTCTGTTCTGTATTAATGACACCCTTCAAATCTGTTATAAACAGGAGGCTTTATCTTAAGTATTATTAAGGATGTATATTTTGTTTATACTACAAGTTTTTAACTAATTCAGTGAACATTAAAATAGATTTAAAAGGCCACTACTGTGTGAGAAATAATATGGAGAATTTAGTTGCCACAGTCTATATTGTTGAAACAGTAACAAAAGAATCTTTTGCATATAAAAATAAGTTAGACTGTATACAGTAATTGGTTATAAGTTAATATTCTGCTGAAAAATGTTTGAGGCTGGATTTTTTTTAATATATTTTTAGTACATGTCAGATATAAGTTAAAATTAATAATAAAAATAATATTTTATTAGTTTTGTATAACAGTATTATCTGTGCATAAGTCAAAAAATATAATTATTGAGCTATATGAAAAGTACTCTCCATATTCTATTTGGTGAGAAGTAAGTTTCACTTGAGCAGCTTCTCACAAAAACCACTGCTCTGTGAAACTGACTCCCAAGTTTTCCGATCACTACAATCTTAACCAGTTCAAGTTTAGGGTTAACCATTATCTTCGCCACATATCTGCATAAACTGCCCATTTTTCTGTAAACCTCTACCTAGAGTGGCTCCCAGGCCTTGTGTAAGGTGAACCCCACTGTAAAAAAAAAAAGAAGGTACTTTTCCTTTTTAATATTTCAAGAGGTCCTGCACATTTTTTTTAAATACATATGGTATCTTTTGATGATCAGAGCTCTTAAAGTTTTCAATTTCTAATGACTGGGTTCTACTTCACTTTGCATTTTAAAACATCATAATCAACAAATAAATCATCTACTTCTGGGCATTTTATTTCAAGGGACTGTCTACTTCTTTATGTTCCACCTAACCCCCATGTTTAAAATATTATTATTATATGAACGTTCCCAGTGTAGATGAACAAACGTTGTAAATACCACCACTAATTACTTTTAAAGCTTAAAAGTGTATATAGATTTGTATATACATATATGGATGTTAAAATTGTATATATAGATGGTGAGAAGCTTCAGAGAAATGATAGATTTTTAAACAATTTATTCGAGTTGCATGATGACATTTGTTGCATTCAGTCACATATTCAACAACTTCATTTTTGCATTTTACTGGTCATTCAAGTAGATTTATTTTATTACAAGAAATGTTCTTACATGTAATCTTTCCTTTTCTTGAATTTTTTTTTTTTTAATTTTTTTTCGTAATTACCCATTTTTCATTTCTGATTTTTTTTCGTATTTTACTCATTTTTTCAATCGGTTTCCTTTGGCTTTAAGGATAATTTTTAGGAATAACTTATTTTAACTAAATTTACATATTATTTTTTCTTTTAACTATTATTCAACACGTAAATAAATATCTTGATTAATTTATTTTAAGCAATTTTAGTTATGTTATTTCTCTTAGTTTTTAAACAAATTTCTTCCGTTAAGGATAATTTTTGGGAGTAACCTATTTTAACTAAAAAATTTACATGTTATGTTTTCTTTTTTAACTAGTATTTAACATGTAAATATCTTGATTAATTTATTTAGTTTTTAAACAGAATTTATTAGAGTATCAATCAATATCCCAAAAAATTCATATCGTATTTTAGGATTTTTTTTTTTGTAAATAGTCTAAGTCATTTTAATCACTCTATTGTAAAAACATTTTAAGTGTAGTTAAGAATAAAAAGGAAAGTTATAAAAAGAGAAAGATCAAACAAATAAGATATAATAAAGAATTTAAAAGAAGAGAAAGAAAAGTAAGTTGTAAGACAAGCCCATTATAATAAATTGTTTTTATTTTATTAATGTGTGTGTATATATATAATATATATATATATATATATTTATTGGTTTATTTTCTTTTCTTCTTCACCCCCCCCCAAAAAAAAACACCGTCTTGGCCACATGTAGGAAAATCAGTAAAACTAAGCATACCTGGTCTATAACATTGAATAGCCCAAGTGAAGACTTGATTAGTTGCCGTTTTCTGGAGGAACATATAAAGCACATCCTAAAGCTAATAACAAATTTAATCTGGGTGCAGGCCGAATACTGATCATATTCAGTCTGTTCACCCATTGAAGAAGTCTGTTGTTTATTTAGACCCGAAACTTCTAGTGACATTGGAGCAACAACACTGACGATGCACCTAGATTCAGCACTTAAAGGTGTAATTTTAACAACAACAAAAATAATTATTATTATTATAATCCCTGTTCAATATATGAATTTTTAATGAATCTGTCATGGGCTGGTTCTGTTATTTTTTAGTGACTGGTGGATTAGAAGAAAGATGGATGTTTTTTTCCTTTCTTCTTCTTCTTCTTGAATTCTATGAGTATTTTCCGTGGCTTTGACATCCAGTTTAAAATAATGCTTCAAAATAGCCAGAATCTCAACCTATATATCCATGATCATTACATCTTACACAAAAGATTAGAAGTAAATAATGATATGATATCTATAATAATAAAAATGATAAACATTAAGAAAATCTCAAGAAACCCATCACTAAGGTAGAAAAGATTGTGTCCATGAGCACTGCTCACATACTCAGAAAAAATCAATGTAATATACACAATAACTTACTAAGAAAAACATTTTGTCTCAGGTAAAAGACTTATATCAAACAGTAAATAAAGATTGATTTGTTTTTTATAACTTATCAACCTTTTGTGGGTTATCTAATGCCAAAATATATTTCAGATTATAGGAGGTGTTGCTTATCATAACTGATGTTCCCAAGTGGTCCCCCAACTAAGCAGTAAATAAAGAAAACTGGAGATAAGAATATTAATAATATAGTGTTTTCTTAGTCTTTATATGTAAATGTGAAAAACAATTACTTTTTATACAGCCTTATAAAAAGAAAATACATATCGTGCTAGTGTGTATCATAACCTCTACACTTCAGTATTAATTCTGCATAAATCAAAAGATCTAATTAAATACTTACTCTCCAAATGAAACATATTTTGAAGATGGTACTGTATTATAATACAAGTGTTTATACTCATCCATCCAAACTTCAGCTGCTCGCCTTGTATTTCTGAATAAAAATAAATTAAATCATTCCAAAATTAAATTAATTCATGTTCACTTTTTTCCATAAAAAGTAACAGCTGTTATGTTTTTGTTATATTATCAAAATAAGTTAACAGGAAAAACATCCACATAATTTTATATTGTAAAACTATTTTAAATTTACAATACTTTTGAAAAAAAAGATAAAGAAAATCAAATAACAAGCAAACATATATAAAAAGATAAATATCTCATCAGAGATTTTAAATTAATCATCCTGAAAAGTTTGCCTTTGTGATGATTCGTTGTTAGACATTTTGCGAAGCAATTTATTTATTGTTTTTCTAATAGCAAATCTTTAATGTATGGGACCATTAATAGTTAAGATAAAAAATAGAAAATCCTATTAAAATAAAATAAAATAAAAATAATTTATATCCCCTCCTCCATTAAATGATCAACATACAGTGTTCCAAAAAAGGGACCAGAATGATATCCCAACAATCTTCTAAGTCATGCAATAAGAGAAAGCAAGAGATTTAATCAAAAACTGTCTTCAATCAATGTATCTAAGCATATAACTTTAAACTGATCTGCATAATCTTTTCTTTAAAGCACTTCTCAATTATAATGCAGGATGAGAAGAAGGCTGATACATGTTTTTTTAACTAAAGTGTATCATGGAATTATACAAGACAAAATTTGTTTATCTATTTTACTTTATGTACCCTTAGCTATGGGTTAAATGGCAGGGTAGACTGAGCTCTCTAGCTTTTATTGGAAGCCAGTCTAAAAAGATTAGTCTGAATTCAAAACCATAGAAAAGGCAATGGAGAAACACTTCAATATCTTTCCAAAGATGTCATAGCAATTCACAAATAATAATGAAGAGGAATCTATGGAGAGCTATAACTGAAAGGATATGGCATTTAAAATGAATTGTCTTTTCTTCAGAAACTGTAAGAAAAACATTTAAATTATGGTAAAAGTTGTACCATTTTATCTCTTTTGAGTTCAAGTTTTTGTCATGTGCTTATACTTAAAACCCTAATGTGTCTAGCAATCAGTCTCAGTACTTGTATCAAACAGGTCACACATACACACACTAAAAAGCCACCCTCTCAGATGGCATTTAAGCTAGCTCCTGCAGAGGGCTCTCAATTGCGTATTCATCACAATAAGTAGAAAGAAGTAGATGTGATAGGCAACAATAAACTACAGAATTACTCAAAATTGATCACCGCATTTAAATATTGCATTAATATTTAAGCTTCTGCCACCACTTAATTTAAAGAGTTTTATGTACATAGGTCCTAACTTTCCATACAAACAATTACTTTTTATGGGTGAATTTCTCTATTAATTTCAATTATTCCCAAATTTATTTCCAAGTTATAAAAATTGTTATTGTACAAAAAATTGTCACAAAAAAATCACCAAAAACAATTGCAGTAATGAAAACTTGGAAATCCCAAATTTCTGTAATATGAGCTATTGAAAGTTGTGTCCCTTTAATTGAAAAAGTGTGACACACTGACATTCATAGATATATATTTATATATAGGACTAACACAAATATAAAATTTATCACTTAGCTGCTTGATGTTATTTTCAGCATCTTCATTCTAGAGTTTCATAGATGGATGCTCCAGCAATAGTTCCGTAGACACTTGACAGGAGATATATATATATATATATATATACATACACACACCACAAACAAGCTTTGTTAAATTCAACTGACAAGGTGTGTCTGTTTAATTATTTAATTTTATTGCATTTTTCTACTTTTTGAACAAGATGTTGAATCTTACTAAAATATAAATCTGTACCCTAGATTTTTTCAACTATCTCCTTTCTTAAAAAAAAATACTTCTTTCCAAATCATGATGCATACAACTATAAAAAAATTTTAAAGGTAAAAGAAAACGGTTAAATTCAAAACCTATTAATATTAAATATATAATGCTTAAATTAATTTCTCAAACTAAAATAATATAAATAATAATTACATTATTAAAAAAGAAATTCAATAACATTTACTTACTTTCATTTATTAGACATTAAATTATATCACTTAGCATCTTCCATAATCTACCTTGACTTTCAGTTAACCTGAAGTATGTTTCTTAGACTTCTTAAATTTAAAAATTCTGAGAAACTAACATTTTTACTTTATTTTTGCTTGCTGTAAAATAAAATCCATACATTTGACATGATAAAGTTCATCAGACAACAAAACATGTCAGCTAAGTGTTTTGTTTATATCATTTCATCCCAAGCAAGGCAATAAAGCCACTAAGACACAAGAGGTTACAGGGTGTTAGAGAATACAAGAAAAAATACTAATAAGGAGGGAGAACAATAAAAGAGTAAGAATTAAGACAAAATTTTTTTCTGTCTTTATATTGACTTTTTATAGATATATTTTTAGTTATATCCGAATTTCTAAACACACACACACACAAGAATAAAAAAATTTCTTTTAAAATTTAATGATTCAGGCAATTGCATTAACTTTTGTTTGTATACAATGCTATTAATGAAATGTCCCAACTCAGTAAGCTGCAAATCAAGATAAAAATTCCACTGCAAATTGAAAAAATATATTAAACTGTTCTCAGTTATTAACAATGATGAAATAAGGGAAGCAAAAGAAGATATTATAAAAGCAATGACATTCTTACCGGGCAAACACAATACCGCTACCACCAGGAAATGTGTAAGGGTGCTGCTTCCGGAAAACATGACCAACTCGACTGCAAGGAATTATTTCCAAGCTGCCATGACATAGCCAAACACGGAATGAAATTTCTGAAAGAATCAAAATTTTAAAATATTTTTTGTTATGATTACTGAGAAATCATACAAATGAAATTAACTTTCCACAAAACTATTCTAGAATTCTTTGTCTGGTTTTTCATTTAATAATTATTACAATAATTTTACAGAAAGAATGATTTTTGTCTTTAAACATTTTGTATTGTAGATCATTCAAATCCTGTCTGTTTAAATCCTAGAAAACAGTTTTTATTACATTTTTTTAATTACTATAAAATATCATTTGATTTTTTTTTTATTTCTTAAATTTTGGTTAATTCAATTATATTTTTTTGATATAGGCTTTAACTCCCAAATTAGAACTTTTCCTTTCCTGTCCATTAGTCATAATATTTTGGATCATTGCTACTGTCTAATAAGATGTTGGACTTCCATGTGCTTGCAAAAGATCTCTTCCTTGATCAGACATAGACTCTATAATTTTCCAAAAGTTTTCCTCTAGACTCTACTGCCAAAATATTAATAGGTTTTTTAATATGTTTAACAGTCAGATAGTAGGGCATAAGGTCAATGGGATTGAGATCTGAGGAGTTTAGTGGCTGGGGCAACAGTGATGTCTTCTTTCTGAAACCATTCTCATATAACTTGTGTAGAAAATGCAGAATATATCCATAACCTGCAGAAATAGGTCACTGCAATTGTAAAAAGTGTATCTGGTCTTTATACCAGGTGGTAAGTGACAAATTATTTCCACATAAATCATAATACTCAGTGTTTCCTCACAGAACTTTGCCCAAACTATCAGACAACCATCACAACTGGGTTGTTGATTTGCCATAGGGTATCCTGGTGGTATCATTTCCTTAAGACAACAACACACAAATAATCCACCATTCAACTTATACAGGTGGCAGTGAGAGTTATCAGACCAAGCAATGTTCTTATTGATACAAGCTCCAGTTCAAATTCCCATGTCCCCTGTGAAAATGCTTCCAACCCTGGTTAGCACAGCTTGTTATTTTTGCTGCTACATACACAATAAGCAGCTTATAAACTTTGCTGCGACACATTATTTCCTTCACCTGAAAGCTATCTTCAATTTGTGCCAAAATAGCCATTTTGTTGGGTCATATTTGGCAATAAAACTTCTGTTTTTTTCTTGCTTTGGCATGTTTTGGCTACCCTAAATACCTGACTAGCAATTTTCCCACCTCTCATCTGATGACAATACTCACTAAAACTGAACATGGGCACTTGGAAATTCTCTGACTAATTTCCTAACCATAACAATTTCATCCAGTTATGAGCAAAAACATTTAAATCTTTCTTTTTGCTCATAAGTGGGGAATTTAACACATCAAAATGAAGTACTTAAGACCATGTTACATGCTTATATACTTCTGACCCTGATATATACAGTTATGAGACAGTAGCTGTTATTCTTATCACTGCTTATAATATTTTGGTTTGTGCATGTATGTGTATATTTAGGCAGTATATCTTCATTCAAACATGTTTGGTTGAATAATCTAGACATTATGTCTATTCATTTTTTTATTTTAGTCCTCTCAAATTCATGGATCAATTTCTTAGTGCTTTACAAAAAAAGTTTTAGTTATTTCTTTTATTTTCCCAGGTACTTTCAATCTCATCCAAGATCATCTTCAGGGATGAATTGCTAAGACATAAATTAGTGTAATTAATTCATTTTTTTTATAGATGCACATGCACTTATTCCATAATAGCCAATTTATGTTAAGGATATGTAAGGAAGATAACTTAATTTAATTCTTTTTATTAATGTTTTAAAAATACACAACCTGCTATTTTTTTCAAAAAAAAAAAAAAAAAATTTTTAATTCCTTTTTTTACAATTTGAACATCCCAAAATATTTTCTTTTATAGTCATTTTGAAACATTATTGCTATACTCATAATTAATTTTATTTGGTGTTAGTTTCATTTTTTTATATAGATCACTTTGAGAATTTGAAGATTTTGTTTATTCTTTTCATGGTGGAATACACTTGTCGATTAATATTTCTCTAAAACTTGGATGTGGACAGGAATGTTCTTTTAAATGTTGCACAACAGAACTTGGATCTGACATGTGTAAATTAAGCCTTCTTGATAATGTAGTCATCATGAAACCAACATATATATTTACATTTTTGTCAAAGATACAATTTACCAAAGAACATTTAAATTGATATACAATGTTGGTCTTTTGCAAAACATTAGTTGATGGAGAAGAATTATTGTGGATGATTAAAAAAAATTCACTTTGTGAGTATAGCAACAATGTTTTAAAATGTCTATAAAAGCAAATGTTTTGGGATGCTCAAATTGTAAAAAGAGAATTTTTAAAAAGAAATTTTTCCAAAAAATTATATATATATATTTATTAATCACAGCCATTCTTTTGATTTAAAAAAAAATGCTTATCCGTTCATATTTATTTTCACTATCAATTTTTCTTTTCGGGTGAATGGAACAACAAAATAACTGCTTTGAAAGGATAAGAAACGGATTAGAAAGTTTTGTAAGTGATTTATTTGATCTATGTGGGGCACACTTGAACATGTTTGCCATAAGAAACATTAAACAAAGAAGGCTTAAGAAAGATTATTGCCAAAAAATAAAATAAAAAGTGGATTGTGATTTTGGCAGAGTTGATAAAGTTTCTTGGTATTGATCTTTTTCTATCATGCTGAGAATGCCAATCAATGCAGAAATAGTTAAATGTCCTAACCTTTTTATTCTGCTCCTAACATTTACATTCCTACATTGATCATATCAGGCCAATAAATTTACAATTGATTCCTAAATATTTGCCAAGACCTCAATATTTTTATTAGTTTGTTTCAAAATACAACAAATTCTATTTTTAAAAGCTGTGTCTGATTATATCTAGATTTAACTGAAAATATCTTGCACTTTCATCAACAAAATAAAACCTTGTGACTGTTCAAGCTCCTCAACTTTTCGCTCTCTCTTTCTGCAACTATTCAGATGAACCCAAATTAATGTTTTATTCTCCAAACAAATTTTACTTGCCTAATCATAATTAATATAAAGTGACTTTTATTAAAAAAATATGAATTATTTGCTGTTCATTAGCTTCTTCTTTCTTACATCTTGCAAGCTTTATTTAAAAATAAAAGTCCATCATTATATGCCTTATATTTCTTTATAATCTAGATATCGATGAACAATTTTTTATGAATACAAATAAAGAATTCTATCAAAACTTGTTTTCGCATATTTCTCGGACATTGTGATATGCATGACAGGAGTATTATGCCTTTGATGAAAATAACCATTTACTGAATAATATATTAAATTTATTAGATTAAATTCCAACTCTACTTTTTATATTTCATAAACTTTTATAATTTCAGACTTAAAAATGACTTTGTTTAAGTTTCAGATATGAAAATAAAGTTAGCAGATATAGACTTTTAAATGTCCCAACAAGAGATGCACATTTCTTATAGAGAGTAATTGAGCCTTGCTTTGCTATAATGGCTTATCATCACTTAGTGGTAAAGCACACCTCATTTGAAGGTGGTTTCCTAGGATAAAGGGAATACAGATTCATTTCCTGACAAAAGACAATTTTTCTTGAATAATGTTTTTGATCCGTAGGTGGGTAGATATTAAAAAAAGCAGGAATGTCTACTTGTACCTATTAAATATAATGTTTGTAGTAAGAAGAAATTATATATATATATATATATACGCACACACATGAATAAAGACAAGAGGAAAAATTATACTTAGCCAACAAATTTCGTCCTCTGAGGGGATTTTGTCTCTTCTACAGATACACTCAATCTGAGAATATTTACACACATATAAGAAAGATGATCATGGTAATTTTGACATAACCAGAGGAAGTTTTGATGAAACAGAAGTATGAGAAATGGTTGTAATTTATCTAATAATCAAAATTAAATTACATACTACACTCATCGTTTATATGAGAATTAAAAATTAATGTTTTTTACTTATCATTACTACAACTATTACAAAAAACTAGTCAAATATATATATGATAGTTTCAGAAAAGTAAATTTAAACAAAAACAAGATTCTAGTTTATACTACTTATGTTTTTGTAATTTTTTTTAATACAAAAAATAATTTTGATACATGAAAAAAAAATTAGCAATATCTTTTTCTTCATTTTTTGTTTTAATTTTGTTACTCTATTTATTTAACTTTTGTTACACCTTTTGTATCAATATGTTCCCACTGATTTTAGAATCTCATACTTTAATTATTGTCTTTATCTACTAAATACAAGTCTACAATAATAGAGCACTCAGTGAGGGTCAAACTCACAACAGTAACAATGGCTTACAAGATTAATTTATTGATCATTGTTCTGAGACAAGCAGCTTTATTTGTTAAACTTTAGTTTTTAGCCTTGTGCCAAACTAACCTTTTATATATCCTTTATATCACTATATTCAGAGTGATTTTTAAATCACACAACATCAAAAAACTTTTGATTATCTGTCTGACAAAAGAATTTAATATGGGATTTTAATTATTTTTAGCATTTGAGTCGTGCATCTACCTGGGAGGAAAATAAGACAATCATGATGCACAAAAACTAAGTTTATTCTACAGAAGAACTAATGTACATCTGGTCTCACTCCGGTTTTGGACTCAACTGACAAATATCTCTTGCTCAACTGTCAACCACTCACTTCATTTAGAAGGCTCCATTTGACAAGCTGTCAATTAAATCTGACCATGTAAACAATAGCATTAATTTACACATCAATCACATTATTTTCACTTCAGTAACTTTTACTTTAATTAATTGTGCTAATCATCTTTACAATAAACAGTTTTCTTCTTACCCGCTTCTCTTTGCCAGTATATCATCTTAATGTTGAGTGCGATAAAAACCGTTTCTCAAATGCATACAGATCAATTGTTAGCTGAAACAAAGCATTTGACAAACTTAACAGCTACTATTATTGAAAAGGCTAATGATTAAATGTTTTTCTTCTCAGAAAACAGACAAGAGAAATCAATCTTTTCCAGGATGATTGTTCTCTAAGTTTCAGATTAAAAATACTCATTTAAAGCCAAATGTTTTTAGATGGCCATGTTTATCACAAGTAAATAATACAATACTGATAATCTAATTATAGTTTTGTTACCATAAAACTTCAATTATTGTTGCATATTAAAACTATTATAGCTCTGTGTCTTTGTAGGCTATAGTCAAAAATATTTATGAAATTTGTCACAAAGTCATATTTTACAAATATCTAATAAAGTTTTAATAGATTTTAAAATTCTTTTTTCTCTACTTATATTGAATTTTTGATTTTGACAACTTTTTGTTAATATATCATGGACTATATGGAAATTTTAGATTAAAATAAATTTTACTTATTGAACCATTAAGATTATAGTTTCTTAAAAAAAATGTATATAAGTTTATGGATAGTGCTAAAAATATATTTTCAAATATTCATTTTTTTAATTAATTCTGAATTTAACTTGTAATTTTTGCAGGGAATATACATTTAAGTCACTATCTGTTTTTCTTTCTTTTTTAATGCTATGTCCCTTGAAGACATAGGCAATCCCAGTTCTTCACAGCTTCATATTTTTTTTTTTTTTTTTTTATTATCTGTGAATTTCCACAAGTTTTTTTTTGAAAAGATGCTCAAGTGGTTTTCCATTGCCTTCTCCATTGTATTTTTTTAATTTTGAGTTTTCCTTCTTATCAACTAGTTACCATCCATGGTTAGAGAGCCCAACATAATACTTTTAAATTCATAGCAGAAGGAGAAAAGATTCATGACTTTCCAAAGGATATTTGTGTGAAAATGAACACAAAAGACTAAGCAGGAATTTGTATTCAGCTTACCAATTTCACTTTTCACTACCTGCACATTTTTGTTACTGCTGACTGTGAATTCTTTAAATTAACATAAGCCATGTATATTATGAAATATTTAATTCAGAAACCTGTTTCAAATCAGTTTTTAATAATATTTAAAGATTTTTAACAAATTTAATGTTATTGTATTTTGATTAGTTCAAACTCATTCTGGCCTCCTTAGTAATATTGTTGTGAATCCTTTGTGATATATAGTCTGTGGCAATGTCTCTTCATACTGAGAGTACCAGGTTGACAGTTTTCTGATTGCTACTGCTGACTGGTAGTTAGGAGCCCTAACTCTTGTGTAGTGTCTTGAGCGGCTGCTCTGATCAATAGTTGCATAATATCGAGGTGCTTGTAATGTCATGTCACACATCTGGAGAGCAACCCTGAGATCATGTTATGTTGCAAGCTGCACCAACTTCTTTCTATCCCTGTCACATAGGATGACCTGCTGCTGCTATTACTTTAGGCCTTTTCATCACCAACATGACCATAAACCAGCTCTAAAACAATCACGTAAACCCTTTAACATTTCTTTTTCCAACATCCGTGGCATTCAAACCAACTTCTGCAGTGTGGAATCACTCATTGTTGAGAAGTCTCCTGATATACTGGTTCTCTGTGAGAGTAACAATAATTTGTCATAACAAGATAATCTGGAGACCATTTTGACCCATCTAACTACTGTCCTATCAGGCTCCTAACACTCTTCGGTAAAGTCTTTGAGGCTTTAATCAATGCCAAAGTGGTTAAGCACTTTACATCCCATGATCTGCTCTCTAATAAGCAATATGGTTTCCACTTTGCTTGATCTACCACTGACGTGCTCACGGCCATAACTGAATTTGTATACCAAGCACTTCACAATATCGGAGAAGCTTGAGCTATGGCTCTAGACATTACTAAAGTGCTTGATAGTGTTTGGCATGCCAACCTTCTTTGTAAGATTCAGGGATACGGCATTACAGGACAATTATTTGACTTAATAAAATTATTCCTGTCAAACCGTGAACTAAACGTCATCCTAAATGGGTTCTCCTCCAGTTCCTTTCTCATGAATGCTGGTGTCCCCCAGTCAAGATATTGTGTCCATGTTCATAGTTCACAATCTTGATCGTGTTTTGAAAATGAAAACATTATATAAATACATACAACAATCTATTTCTTGTTAACAGTTAAAAAATATCACAACCTTGAAAATGGGTAACTGTATAACTGAAAGCGCTCAGAAAGAAAGAACAATTGGACAGTTTTTATATAATTTATCCTCCAAAAAAGAAAAAAAATATTATATGATCACATGAGAAATTGTATAAAAAACTAAATCAAATCACCTTGTCTTTCATATTCAATGAAACGTACATGCGTGTGTGTGTGTGTGTGTGTGTGTGTGTGTGCCTGTATATAATGTTCAAAGAAAATTCAAATCAGATAACAGAATGTCTTACCTATGTTTTCTCCACCCCAGACATCCATTTTTGTATCATATTTTCCTAATTGGTTGAACCAAGATTTATTAATGGTGAACAATCCACCAGCTATAAGAGGAGTTCTGAAAAAAATAATTTAAAAGATTTTTAAAATTATAGAATCCTATTGAATATGATGAGAAAAAGGATATACCTTTTCATGATTCTGTTTTTATTCATCAGATGTTGCATTATTATATTTATTATTATTATAGTTTTCCAGTTAATTTGCTTATGACAGTTTTTTTAAACCTTTCAATCATTTTGCTTGTCATGTTGTGGGACTAGACATGTTCTGAATTGATGATTGTAGCATATTGTCTATATGAATAAATAATCCATTTTTTCCTTATTGATTATATTTGAAGGCAATATTTAATAAAAATTGCAGAATTAAATTATAAAAAGTATAAAAATAGATGTCTTTAACTGTCTGTTAGAAATGTTTATCCTTAACATTTAGCAAGTTGCAGATCAAATTTCTGTGATTAGTCAAGTAACTTTCTGAACACATCTGTCAAGTAATTATAAGGAGTTTCTGGTATTAGTCATAATATTTGTGTGAATTACAGTGTTATATATTTTTAGGAATACAAAAGTATCCTATAGTACTCATAAAGTACTTCTTTTTTTTTTTTCAAATTTTGAGACCTGCCTTTTAAATTGGTTTAATTATACAATAATGATCAAAAATATACTTTAAAATTGTACTACTGTAAATATCCAAGTGTAAAATAGGGTAATACCAATGTCCAAACATTATATTTTAAAAAAGTGTTCGATACAGAGTAGAGCTTAATAATAATATTTATTAACAATTATAACAAAAACATAAATGCAATCATGTTTCAGCACTGTATGTGCTTCTTCAGGCAGTGGTGATTTTCCATCAATATAAGCTCCTTATTTTGCCCTTATTAACCATATAACAAACAAGAAGAAACAATTTTTTAATATTGGCTTTTTAATTCAATTTTGCAAATTAAAACATTTTTTTTTTCATTTTATTTATGAGGGTGGGCTGAAAATTTCCTTTAGCTGGCTATGAAGGAATGATGCTAGAACTGTGAAAATTTGCATGCATTAATTTCAATTCTCTTTATCAATAGCTGCATTTTTTTCTTTTCTTTTCAGGTACCAAGTTGAAATTAATGCATGCAATATTTTGCAGCTCTAGCATCACTCTTTCATAGTCAGCCTATGAACTTTCACCCCCCCCTAATATCTTATAAAACCAGAAAGAATACTTAAGACAATATATAACATGAAAATTAAATGATATATGTACAATATTTTAAATGGAGTGTTTGAAAACCTCATAGTACTAACATTGTGACAATGCTACAGTCGTACTAATGGAGAGTTAAGAACACTGTTCATATAAAGTCATCATGTGCCCCAACAGCCATCAAGAACTAAATTGAGTTTCCTCAAAATATAAATAATCTTTATCAGTTTTTAGTGTCTTTTCTTTATCATGTTTCCTCCAGGCCTAAAGAACAGTAAATTTATGTTGAAACAATTGAAGTTTGTAATGGGTTTGTATTCATAAGATAAAAATTTATTATTTTTCTTATATATTCCTTTTTTAGTTTTGAAGATCATTATCATCAATAAATTTGATCTCATGAATAAAGCAATTATTACAACAATCCAAAGTTTCTAGATAAAATAACAAAGATAAACAATGAACTAACCTAATTGGAGCAGTTGGGTTGTTCTCTCGTCTTTTAATTTCCTCTGCACTCATATAGTCCCATTTGAATACTAAGTTCCAACCAAATCCTGAAATAAACAGGAGAGGAAAAAATACAATGATTATATGTTCATTGACATGTAGAAATAATTTCAAGATAAACTGGTACACATTATTTCTTAGAATACATATTTGGTTGGCTGGAAGTAACAGAACCTTTACAGAGCATATTGAGGACAAGAGAAATAGAGGAAGGTAGCAAGCCACTTACCCAATGATCTTGTGTAGATAGATGGTAGAAAGTGGGGTGGGGCTTAGCATGGGGGTAAAATTTACTAAGGGCCAAGGGACACAGCATATCGAAGTATATTCTGAGTATAACAGTCATGATGAGAATGCTGGTCTGAATAATAAAACATAATAATGATGATTCCTCATCTAAAAAAAAAAAAAAACTCCAACAAATACATATTTTAAAAGAAGACCTGATTCTCTATCCATCACACACTGCCTGTGCGTAACTTTGCATGCACTCTCATGTAATGTATATGCATATGTTTGTGTTGTGCATGAGTGACTTTCATGTGTATGCACCATTTAACACATTTCAGTCACTATATATTAGTGACATGGCATTTCAGTTTATACTGCATCTCCAAAAAATGGTGACTGTTATATTTTACTTTGCTTTGCCAAATGTTGGAGACACTCTGTGCATATTTATATATAAAGCAATGTCTGTGTCTTCCTTTTTGTTGAAATGCATTTGAAACTCAACTTCTCTTGACTTTTACTTGGATGCTTTATAAATGTATTGTAGAGATAAAACGAAAACAAATCTCAAGGAAAAAAATAGCTATCTTTTGAAAGAAAGAAAAAGGATATTAGTAATATTTGCAGAATTATTTTTTTTTTTTTTTATTGATTCAGTTTTACAGCTTAACAAACTTTTGTAAGTTATTTAAAGCCAAGATCTATTTTTAGATTGTAGAAAATAATTCTTATGTTTTTGCAAATGAATATTGTATGAACCATTCTTTGGAGAATATGATAATTTTCAGATACAAGTCTTATTATTTAACCCATAGATAGTGGGAAGAAGAAATGGATTCATACATTTCCCAATTGTATTTGTTCATAAGTGAATGTAATGAACAATAGGTTACTAAAATACTTATTTAATAAACATAGCTCATTTTGCATAAGATCCTAATAGTTTATCACAGATGAGGATGAAACACTTATTAACCATTATGATAGGCAACCAAATAGCTATTTACTAAGCCACAAATATGAGATACTCAGTAAGAATTGAACTCATTAGTAATGATCTGAAAAACAAACTCACTAACCATTATGAAATAATTAGGTAACCACCAAATATATACCAGGTGTAACAGCAAAATTGTCCATCCCACAAAATCTTTATCTAAAAAACCACTAAACTAATTCTTTTTTTCTAGATTTTCAGATAAGACATTTAGCCATCTTGACACCATTTGTCATGAGAATCACTGAAAAACCTTTTTACTTATTCAGCTAGAAAGAGAACAGGTTAAAATCATTTTGTGTTGTCCCCATTGTCTTCCCAAATGAGCAATGGTGAGAGGAAAAAGATCACTCAGGCCCTCAGTAATGGTAACAACATTCACACACTGGCTTTCATCTTCAAAGTTGATTCAAGAACCATCAAGACAATGGTGAATAAGTTTAAAAAAGAGGAAACAGTGGAGAGGAAAACTGGATTAGGAGGTCACAACAAAAAGAGGGGTCATCATTTCATCACTATTCTTCTATCAAGCTTGGAGAGTAATTATACATTCTTGTTGCTCAAAATAGAGTACAATAGTTTTATTAAAAACCTCAGAGAATTCCAGCAAGATATCTTTAATCATTTCTAAGATACAATGGTTCAAAGCTTAATCTAATAAATGTACAATTTTGCTGTTACACACTGTGTGTTATATATATATATATATATATATATATATTATTTCAAATGTTATTTTTAGGAGATACCCATATCTGAGTGCATACTCCATTTTTAAACAGTGTTTATTTGATTCTACTGGCCTGCACTCAAAAAAAACTTCATAAAGAAAGCATACATTTTTTTTAAAGTTTTCTGAAGTATGTAAGCCAGTAGAAACGAACAGTGTTTAAATACAGGTATCCACTAAAAGTAACATTTGAAGTGATAAAAATATTGGATTAAAAGATAAAATCCATTAATTATATATAGTGGACATTGAAGTCAACACCCTGAAGCAACAGGTCATGCGTTTAGCATGAAACAGATTTTCACCCCTGGGTGGTGACCTCAATGTCCACTTTTATATTTACATATGCTCTATCCTTAATATTGATCACTTTAACCCATACCATACCTTAAAACAATATTTTATCATTCATCCATATATATATATATATATATATATATATATAAAACAACACAACTGTGTTGTGTTTTTCATCCCTAACATACAGCCCACTCTTCTTTTTTTTTTCCCTCACAATGTTGCTTTTTTTCTTACAGTTAATGATTAGTTGTTTCATCTTGCTTTACTTTTCAATTTTCTTTACGAGCCTGCTATCAACACACATTCATCTATGTATTTCTTAGTGTACTACCTTCTCATAAAAAAGGTTTGATCGTTGATATATCTCTGTTTTCACAACCACTCATTGGCACTAAGGTAATGTTGGTGGCTTATAACTCTGAATAAATAATTTTAAACCCCTAATATTTATATATACAAAAATAGTCATAAAAATGAGAAACAGCAAGACATGGAAACAATAAAATGAGTATTATTTATTATCTGGTTGTTATATGGTGTTGGAGAAACAAGGGACAATAATACTGAGTAAAATTGTGAGTTTGGGGTCAAATGTAGATCAGATATGGATTGGAACGTGACAGAAGGATAACATAATGAATAAGTAAAGTGTATACAGTCTTTCTTGTATTTTTATAGATGTGTGTAATGAGTGTCTGGATAATTTAGTTAAAAAATACAAGTGCCTGTGATTTTCTTACCTCAAATTTTTGTTGTGTGCTAAACAATAAATATTGCTGTGAAAAATGAAAAGGAAAGTAAATTTTCATTGACACGTATTAATGACTTGTTCATGTGAACTGCATGTCCAATAGTGAGAATGTCAAGTAGTTTGTGTGTGTGTGTGTAGAGAGAAGTGGGGTTGATTCTCATTGGTTTAGAATGAGTGAATTAATGATAATTATAATTGTTATAAGTATTATAATTAATTTTTATTTTTGTATGGGCACAACAGTAGAATATCTCAATTTCACTTAACTTTTACAATTGCCTGATAAGCCACATTAGTTTTTAACCATTTGCTCTGCTAGAGAACAGCCCTCTCTGTGTTTTTACAGTTAAAGAGAACTTAGGTTTGTATCACATGTAGACATTTGCTTTAATGTGATGCTTTTTTTATGTTTGGATTACATTGTCCATGCAGCTATAACTCAATTTTTCTGTAATTGTATTAAGTATTTTGTGTAGTTTCTTGATAATTGCAAAGTGTTTATCAATTAATTTGAAAAGAAAATACTTCCCACTTACATTTTTATTACTTTGTTACATAGGGAGTTAAATATTTTTTCTGGTTCTACCAATCTTGAAAACCAAATTTACTGTGTTTTATCAATACTTTAACTCACTATTGCACCCTCTATTGCATTTTTGGAACAATGATCATTAATAGGTTATAGGTAGAAATATATTGTAAAGTAATTGATCATGGTAAAATGTAATTGGTAGAAATGCTCAGCAAACAGAATTGACAAAGTTTGCAATAAACAATAACAAGAGAAAGAAAAGGGCAAAAATAATATTAATCAAGCAAACAATATATACAAGACAAAGCAACAGTAATATGGCAAAAAGTTCACAAAAGGGATACAGACAAGTGATCACAGTGTTCTGACTTCAAGACAAGAAAGAACAGAACTAAGTTGAATGAAATCCCAGCATGCATCTGTGTCTTTTGTCTATAAATTCAGGAGGGGAAAGTATTTTGCATTCATTCCCAGTCTAGATTGAAACCAACACCTATAATTAATAGCAGATTTTTAATCAATCTATAATTAATACTGGATTTTTATTTTTATAATTAATATCATATATTACAGAGGATATTAATGGGATAATACTGCTTCATGATCCAGCTTATCATAACTGACCCCCCCTCCTTGCTGAAATTTGAAAACTGACTCTCATAGATTTCAGGATTTGCTTAAAAATTACTTTAATCATCAAAATGGCTTAATAGATAAATTACAACCATTTCACATACCTCTGCTCTATCAAAACTACCCATGGTTATTTGAAAGCTACTATGATTATATTTCTTAATATATATAATTTCTTATTATACACATTATATTTAGTAGGTACATGTGTTTATGCAGTCATCCTTGTTTTTTGTTTCCTTTTTTAACTGTGAAATTAATATCTACCTGCTTAGAAAACAAAAGCCTTATTCAAGAAAAACTGCCTCTTGACAGGAATTGAACCTGTATTCCCTTTCTCTTAGAAAACCACCTTCAAATATACAAGAAGCCATTACAGCAAGACAAGGCTCAATTACCATATTTAAGAAATGCACATCTCTTGTTGGGACATTTCAAAGTCTATATCTACTAACTTTATTTTTATATCAGGAACTTAGTCATTCTTAAGACTGAAATTGTAAAAGTTTAATTATAAAAAGTAGATTTGTAATATAATCTACTAAATATAATGTATTATTCAATAAATGGTTATTATTTTCATTTTAGGCATTATCCTCCTGTCAGGCATATTTCAATGTCTATCCTCTGTGCTGTAGGACAATGCCACATTTGATAATGAATAATAAAGCATTCACTATGATTACCTCATATCTGCTGTACAGTGAGGAGAGAGTGTGTGTTTAATATAAAAAGAAATATTTTTTTATAATTACTTTTTCTAATATAAAACACAAGTAAAAATTTTGTAAAATTGTTTTGCCTCTCAATATCAGAATGTTTTCTTATAGTGATAAGACTTTTGCTGACAATTTACTTTATAAAAGTCAACCA